ATGGGAATGGGGATGGGAATGGAGGTGGGAATGGGGATGGGGCAATGGGAATGGGAATGGGGATGGGATGGGATGGGAATGGGAATGTGGGAATGGGAATGGAGGAATGTGGGAATGGGAATGGGAATGGGGGAATGGGGATGGCAATGAGGGAATGGGGATGGGAATGGGAATGGGGATGGGAATGGGATGGGAATGGGGATGGCAATGAGGGAATGGGGGAATGGGGATGGGAATGGGAATGGGGATGGGAATGGGATGGGAATGGGAATGTGGGAATGGGAATGGGGGAATGGGGATGGCAATGAGGGAATGGGGATGGGGATGGGAATGGGAATGGGGATGGGAATGGGATGGGAATGGGAATGGGAGGATGGGGATGGGAATGGAGGTGGGAATGGGAATGGGTATGGGAATGGGGATGGGAATGGGATGGGAATGGGGATGGGAGGATGGGGATGGGAATGGAGGTGGGAATGGGGATGGGGATGGGATTGGGAATGGGGATGGGGGAATGGGAATGCGATGGGAATGGGAATGGGGATGGGGGAATGGGAATGGGATGGGAATGGGAATGGGAATGGGAATGGGAGGATGGGGATGGGAATGGGATTCGGAATGGGGGAATGGGGATGGGGATGGGATTGGGAATAGGAATATGGGGGGATTTGGGGTGCTGGGTGAGGAGGGCAGTGGGGATAGGGGGCACAGGATGGGGGATTTGGGGGGGTTTGGGACAATGGGGACACTGAGGGGGTCAGGGGGTTTTTGGGGACAATGGGGACACTGTGTCACAGGCAGGGCAGGGCCAGGGGACCCCCGGGGTGTCTCTGTAAGACTTTGGGGACAGAGGGACACGCTGGGGACATTCCAGGGTGGGGCTTTCGGCAGGATGGCAGCGGGACGTGGCTGTCCCCAACACCGAGGGTGGGACCGGGGCAGGGGGGGGGACACACCTGTGGCACCGACCCCCTGCAGGTGCACCGCGGGATCAAGGGCGTGGTCCGGGACGGTGACACCGAGCAGGGCATCCCCAACGCCATCATCTCCGTGGATGGCATCAACCACGACGTCCGCACCGGTGCGGGGACACCGGGACCCTGCGGGACGGGGCTTGGGGCGGGAACGGGATCGGGATCAGGCTGGGGAGGGAGGTGGGGTGAGGATGGTGGTGGGATGGGAGCAGGGATGGGAATGGGGACAGGGAAAGGAACGAGATGGGATTTGGAATTGGGAATTGCAAATGGAGATGGAAAGAGGATTAGAGTGGGAAAGGGGATGGGATGGGGACAGGAATGGGATTGGGGTGGGAAGAGTTAATGGGATGAGGTTGGGAATAGGGATGGG